CCTCAAGCATGTCGCGTACATCGGCGCGCAGTACTCCCTCCGCCGGCATGTTCGGGTGCACGGCCCCACGCCTGTACCGATTATGACGTTCCCAACCCAGCAGTTGGCTGTGCTCTATGCAGTCGCGGCGGGTACAATCCTCGACGTGTGGTACCGCTCTGTAACCCTATTGTTGGCAGATCAATCTGTGGACGACCGCGTCAAGCACGGCATGGCCGTGGTGGTGAAAGCGACGGTAGCCCGTCAAGCTATCGCGTACACCCAAGAGATGGCCGAGCGCTGCGGGGCCCAGGGCACATTCGAGAATAACTTCATGGCCCGCTTCGAGGTACCGTTCTTCCCCTCCCCATCTGCAATCATACAACCAATCTGACTTATCATACAAAACGCAGTCCGACGTTCGGGGGGTCATTATAGCTGAAGGGGACGTCCTCGTGCTCTGCATCCGGCTCTTCTCCGAGCTTCTCCTCGGGAGATACGCCCTTCCCTGCCCCCCCTCCACCGACTCCCCCATCTCCCGTCTGGCACACGCCATCATGGACAAGCACGCCAAGGGGCTGGCCGCACTTCCGGGAGGGCACCGCTCTGCCGACGCAGAGTACTACATCCTCCCCCAAGCCGAGAGTGCGGTCATTGCGCTTGGCCATGCGATGGCATACGCCGCGGCCCGCGACTCTGGGCGTGTCCCCCAGCCCCTACTTGCGCTCTACGAGGCGAGCGTGATGCGGGCGTATTCTGCGTGGTTCTCTGAGGATTTGGGTGTGCCCCTCGCGCAGCAGCGGCAGCAGGAGACGGATGCTCTCCGCGCTGCACTTCCAGACCTGCCGCGTTTTGCGCAGGAGCTGGGGGTGAGCGACTACGTCCGTGCGTCCATTCTCGACGACGAGACGTGGGAGCGGTCCGTGCGACAGATGACGGCGTACGTCGGAACCGAACAAGGAAGCCAATACGCTCGGGGCTCTGTAGCGGTGCCTGAGGGCATAGAGAATGTTCGAGCAAGGCTGTGAGTATACTAATACGGGGGCTAGTACAAGTGAATACTTAGTACCTGTCTCCGCTGATCTTCACATTGTATAGAGAATCGGTTAGAAATCGCGCACTCTGGAATAGTGTTCGAACGAGTTTTGTGCAGCATGTTGCCGTGGATGGCTGGATTCCACTTGTGCTTCAGCATGTACTCGATATCATGAATGACTGACCAAGGCATCTGTCAGAAGGAGTATTGAGAACGCGCTGGACGGGTATCCGGTTCTAGATTCAAGACTCAAACGGGACAGGATCTTATTGTGTGTGAGCGTGCGGGAATGGATCGTGCACCTAGCATGACGGTACCTCAGCCTAACAATTGCCCTTGCGAGCAGGAACGAGATCCCCGACCACAAGTTCTAGCCATGTCACGCCGCCATCTGAGGATCCTGGTAATCGTCCGTTGCAATCGGCACTCAATCGCTGTTATTAACTTTGTTTAGCCTTCACTTCAACCGTGTGTAAGGCAGTCGGATTTCTCCAACACGAGCGCAGGCACAGGGCGCCTGAACATCATCACCCGGCGGAAGCTGACATCAGCGACTCTTCGTCACATGATATGGTGTCTGATGCTACACTGGGATTCGCCGAACAACATCCTGAGCTCACATCTGCTTAGTGCCGATTGCAGTATCATAACTTCGTTTGCAGTCCTACTTCCCTTCTACTGTCGTGGTATGCACGCGTTGACCCACGTGTTTTCCCGCCCCATAAGGTTCCTCTTCTGTGCATCGTTGCAAATTCCGCCATCTGCGGCGGTGTCTCGGTGTATACCTCTAATGAATGAGCACTGTACGGGCAACGGGAAGACGGTGCAGGTCACGATAACACTTGCTTACTTGACATGCGTGTGAGTGCTCCGGCCGCTGTAAAAATTCTCGAAAGCGGCATCATCAACATACAGTGCATATGTACGTCACTCCGGTGAAACCGAGATATGAGAGCGAGCGAAGCCGTGTAGGTTAGAGTGGAGAAGACCGCGGTAGCAGTCGGATAAGCCTCTTGCATACCGCAAGGATAGTGATGTGCAGGGACGGGCTGGGCTCAAATACCCGGGCTAGGGCCCGGCTTTGGAGGGCTCGGGCTCACCAAGACTTCAAGCCGGGCCCTAGTAGCAGGCTCGGGCTGGGCCAGGCTGGGCTTGGGCTTAAGCCCGGGCTTTCCGCCTGCCCCATACAGTGAAGAGAATCTGTTTTTGTACATGGATGGTGAACTTACCTCGATATTAGTATGCATACCATGTTGCAGAAGCTGAGACTCGGACAACAGATCGTGGAAAGTGCGCGCTCTGAGAGAGTGAGAGTGTCAGAGTCACCAAATCCGGCAGTGCTAGCGCCCATTTCCAAGCGCGCAAGCTCCGGCTGCCTGTAGAGCTGCGTTGTTCTTTCCTGTGAGTCACAAAGTGCTTTTCCGAAGTCAATTCAGCCCTTGATCATACCATGCAGACACCTTTCTTAACATCTGAAGTGATACTCGAGTAAATACGCAGGCGGGTCAAAAGCCCGGGCTTGAGGGCCCGGCTCAGGCCTACCAAATCTCAAGCCGAGCCCTCAAGCCCTGAAAGCCCGACGGAGGGCCGGGCTGGGCTGGGCTTTTGAGGGCCGGGTACCCGGGACTTTAGGGCTTGAAGCCCGGCCTTGAACATCACTACGCAAGGAGATGTCGTAATCCCGGCATGTGATCATATCGCATGTTTGAGAAGGGGCGGCGCTGTGGATGATAGATAATCATTAAGAACAGCGTCAGCATATCGTAGCCTGGGAGGAAGAGCGATCCGCCCGTAAATAGACATCATCTTCGCAAGCTTCACGGGACAGAAACACTCGGATTCTAATGCTGATTGGTTGTCTGGCGGACATGGGAGCGGTCCATGCGACAGATGACCGCATACGTCGGAACAGAACAAGGAAGCCAATACGCTCTGGGCTCCGTAGCGGTGCCCGAGGGCATAGAGAACGTTCAAGAAAGGCTGTGAGTATCGTATTACGGGGACTAGTAGTGGTAAATGAGTACTTAGCACTTGTCTCCGCTGGTCGTCACACTGAATGGAGAATCGGTTAGAGATTGCGAATCCTGTAATAATGTTCGAATGAGTTTTGTGTAGTGTGTCGCCGCAGATGGCTGGGTTCCACTTGTGCTTCAGAATGTACTTGATGTCATGAATGACCGACTAATGCATCTGTCGGGAGGAGTATATAAAACGCGCTGAACGGATATTAGGTCCTAGATTCAAGAATAAAACGGGACATGATCCTAATGTGTGTGTGTGTGTGTGAGCATGCGGGAATAGATCGAGCGCCTATCATAACGGTACCTCAGCCTGACAATTGCCCTTGCGAGCAGAAACGAGATCCCCGAATACAAGTTTGAGCCATGTCACGCCGCCGTATGAGGATCGCGTATGTCGACCGTGACCATCGGAACTCGATCGCTGTGATCACACGTTGTTTAGCCATCACCACAACGTGTAAGGCAGTCCGTCTTCTCCAAAACGAGCACAGGCGCAGGGGCCTGAACATCACCAGCCGGCCGCGGAAGCTCACATCAGCAACCCGTCGTCATCTGCCATACTATGGGGTCTGTTCTGACACTGGGTTCCGCCGAACAACATCCTCAGCTCACAGCTGCTTCAAGTGCTGATTACAGTATATTTGCAACCTCATTACGCTTCCTTCTATCGTAATTTACACGCGTTGACCCACGTGTTTTACCACCCCCGTGGACGCCGATAATTTTACTCTTCTGTGTATCGCTGGACATATTACTATCTGATGCGGTCTCTCGGCATGTACCTCTATTGTACCAGCATTGTGCTGGCAACGGGAAGACGGCGCAGGTTACGACAAGTCCGATTGCTCACTTAGCAGTCACCATGCGGGCGAGGACACTCAGGGCTGCCTGGTAGGATTTTCCAAAGCGGCAACGTCAATCTGAGATGCATATATACGTCACTCCGGTGAAACCGAGATATGAGGGCGAGCGAAGCCGTGTAGATCAGAGTGAAGAATGTCGCGGTAGCAGTCAGATAAGCCTCCGGCGTGACACAGGCAAGCGTCGTAGCACCGGGATTTCGTCAGATCGCATTCATGAGAAGGGCGGAGGGCGCTGGGGATGATAGATAATCATTGGGAACAGCGTCAGCATATCGCAGCCTGGGAGGAAGAGCGATCCGCCCGTACATAGACATCATCTTCGCAAGCTTCACGGGAGAAACATCTCGGAATCCGATCCTGATTGGTTGCCTTGTGTTCTTCCTCAGTTCAGCACATGCACGGTCATCTCGTGTATCCATCTCGTTGCGCTCCAGTCAGATACTAAGTGACATCAGTGATAACGAGCATTGCCATGAGCGAGTCCCAGAGGAGATTGTACGGATTGCCCGCGAAGGTGAATCAGTAAAGTGTCCTTGATTTCCGAACTCCCCCGTTGTCGGAGAGCCACTAGGAACAGAATCCGATACAATGTGCAAGGGGAATGCGCCAACCAGGTACAGTGACAACGAGAGTGTGAGAATATACAAATGCGGACACGAGTGGAAACACGACAAAAGAGAGAGAACAAACAGCGCGAAGACGTACGAAGTCATTGAGTCCCGAGCACCGCAGACGCAACAGAACGCGCGGTAATGTCGCACACGAACGGCTTCGGAATACTGAAATTGCAGTCGAGACGGCACACGAACGGAAGGGCATTAGCGTTCAACATACACCATAGATGCAGCCGGCATGGTACTGACCTGATGATCCCCGGCCCCGCCTCCGCATTCGGCGGAGTCTCCTTGCCACTCTCATCGCGCACAGGCGCGATGTCGAGCACCGCGAGCATGCATGCCGCATACATCCAAAGCGACGACTCCGCGAGGTGCATCCCGGGACAGATCCGCCGACCGTATCCGAATACCGTCGGCACGCAGTCGGGCTCGCCGAGCCCTCCTGCGGCCTTCGGCAGGAAGCGCTCCGGCTTGAAGGTGAATGGGTCAGAGTAGATGGTCTCGTCGTGCATGATCCCCCTGTGATATGGCGCAGAGATAGTAAGGGCAAGGTAATCGAAGTTCGGACAATATGAAGGCATGTACCAGATGTTCGCAAGCACGGTGGACCCTGGGGAGATGATGAGTATCTATGGCTAAAGGGGGCGAGGCATGACGTACCAGCAGGGATGTCGTAATCATGATACTGAGCGTCCTCCATCGCCCGATGCGGGAGGCCTGCCGTCATTATTCGTGAGCTTCATACTGCAGAGATAGCTGTAACGCATAGTGAAGCATACCGAGTGGAGCAACAGTCCAGTATCTCAACGTCTCCTTGACGCATGCTCCGACATACACAAGGTCCGCCATGTCCGCAAACGTCGGGAGGCGGTCGCTGCCAACAACCTTGTCGATCTCCTCCTGCGCACGCTTCTGCGCATCCCTATGCAAACACATGAGCAGGACGAACGCTGTCAGCCCGGCAATAGTCTGCCGGGAAGGGATATCAGGAGAGGTTGAGACGGAAGAATAGAATGTGGGGCACGTACCGTGTCCGAGCCACCGGTGTAGAGGCTCGCCGCAGACCACATGATCTCCTCCTCGCTCGTGTCTGTATTTGGTTTCGAGGTGTGGCTGCGAAGGTGAGAAGCGACGTAGGAGTCGGGTGCATCCTCAGCTGCCTACGATGGGTAACTACAGGAGTTACACTGGGTGACACGGTGAAAAAGTTACATACAAGTGCCGCCTTCACCGCATTGAATGGTATACTAGCGAGATCGTCAAGGTCTTTTCGCCACTGCAGAGCTTGCTTCTTGAATCCAAGCCCGGGGAGCCACGAAGGCAGATATCGCACTGAGTGATGACACTGGAGTAAGTTTACAAGGTATGGTATGCGGCGGAAACCTGAAAGTAATATTCACGGAAAGGAACGAGGTCGACCAGGAAAGCGTAAG